CGCTTTTCCATTTTTAAATTACTTTTCGATCTTTGAACAATTCGGATGTATTTTTCTTCGAAACAGATTCGATTCGAGAACCTGAATTTATTACTGTATTTCATTCCGATCTGTTCGTTGTTTATCACACACTCGGCCCTTCAAATATCTTCGTAGAAAAATATTTGGCGCTTTTGACGTCGAACGAGATCCGTCGGAAATATCATCAAGTGTCATCGCTCGTTGCTTCGTCGCGTATTCTTCTGAAATAAAATGTCGACGATGCGCAACAATGAAGCCGGCAGAACTTCGGGGAATAAAAGAAAACTGTGCCAAACATTTTCTGCCGAATTCTGCAATCCGTGGATACACAAAGTTCCGCAGCCTAGTTTACCATAGACGTTAATATTCTTCTTAACTCGCTAAAGGAATGGGAGATTCATGGTAACTCATGGTCGGAAAAGACGTGCGGTCGACCGTGAAAATTCCACGTACATCGGCCTGAACTCTCGAGACGGAGAAACGAAGATTTTTCGATATTTTATGGACGTCCGTCCGCTTTTGCAAAAGCGTCCTACGAATTAATTGATAATTAACTGAGACAGATATATTATATTATATATAGATTATATATAATCTATTAATATTGATGTATTTAATTAAATATTAATATAATCTATTATTTATATATTATATATACTCTATTAATATTAGTATATTTAATTAAATATTAATATAATATATTATATATAGATTATTATATATAATATTATATATTATATTATATTATATTATATATAGCTTATATATAATCTATTATATATAGATTATTATATATAATCTTATATAATATTATATATTATATTATATAATCTATAAATAATTAAACGAATAAATCAGCTTAATTCCGCAGCGCGACCAAAAGTTATTCCAGCATAATTTAAAAGAATTTCACTTTAGTAAGCTCTTAGTTGTATTTCATATGTATATTATCTTACCAAAGGATTTTATTTGTCATCGAATTTCTCGGTTTCGGTATGCAAAGAATGAAAATAAATCACGTTTGCTCATCGATTCTCGAACATTGCCGAATTTGATTCAACAAGAGTCAACCAACCCCTAAACAACAACATAGAAAATCCTTATTCTCCCACCGAATATTTCACAAATCAACAGATGTACGCGACTCCCATGACCGACCGCATACAACTATCATAGTCAGGACAGTACCTGTCGTTTGTCAAGGCAAAGGGTCAAGCATTTCGTCCGACGAAGAAACGGTGGAAAAATATTCCCCGCCGGAGGAAACGGAAAACGTTCTCGCGTACATTCTCCCCCATAAAGCTCCAGCACTTTCTCCCCGTGTAGGACACCAAAAAATCACAGTTCCCGTCGAGCCCGGAGCGGGCTCGCGAGCGTCGAATCAAACGGACGCCGCTTCCCACCCCTTCTATTCGCCGAATAGAAAACAAGAATTATTTGTCCTTGTTACCGCTTAAGCGGAAGAACGAGGAAAGACGATCGACAATATATTTATATTTAATATTATATATTAATATTATAATATTATAGTATTATATATAATATTAATATTATAATATTATAATATTATATATAATATTAATATTATAATATTAATAATATTATATATAATATCTATAATATTAAATATAAATATTAATATTATAATATTAATAATATTATATATAATATCTATAATATTAAATATAAATATTAATATTATAATATTAATAATATTATATATAATATCTATAATATTAAATATAAATCTTAATATTATAATATTAATAATATTATATATAATATTAATATTTATCTTTAATATTATAGATATTATATTTAATTAAATATATTAATATTAATAGATTATATTAATATTTAATTAAATACGTCGACGCTCGTGCGACCCGTGCCCAACCCGAATACGCCGCGCTGCTTCGCTCTCGGACGAGATCCGATTAAAAGGGGACGAGGTCGCCGGCACTCCGGTTCTCTCGGATCACGGATCCTGCGAACTCGACTCCGACTCCGAGATTGCGTAATTCTCGACTCGAGACAATCGTACGCGAACATCGGAACCGGTCGCCGAAAAACACATCCTCCTCTCGTCGAGTTCGGCAGATCGATATCATTTTGTCGCGCGACAGAAAGATTTCTTTCACAGCGGCACGTAATCGAGACGCTTTTTCATCGGCTTTATTGACTGTTTTATTGACTGATCCTAACGGCACGGAAATGCGTTCGGAAGCACTGCTCGGAAACAAGGGGAACAAGCAGTCGAGAGCTAATTAATTCTTAAATGTTAGAGAAATAGGAACGAGTATCACATAAACGAATGGAACGCTAACCGTAAGAAAATGTACATCTCTTCCTTCGCTTGATTATGCGGGTTCATTGGCGGATTTAAATCATAATTGGCTCAAGCCTGGTTCGCGCGACGCTATGAATAGAATAGGGATCTTTATTTATCCTCCCCTTCGAAGGGGAGCCCCCCCCCTCATCATCATTTATAGTCAACGAAATCAATGCTTTCCATCTTTCGATTCTCACAATTGAGCCGTTTATTTTGAAGGTGGCATAAGTCAATTTAACCGTAATGAAAAGTGGTGATTTTTTTAATGTTTATACGAAATTATTTATACCGAGAAAGATATCAGTATCCTGAGATAACAAATACAAGTGAATCTTCTCGAAAGTTAGCAGCCATATTTTTAAACGTTCTAAAACGCAAACCCTTAAATATATCGACTTGAAAACAAAGTGGCTTATGCCACTTGCAAAATAAAGGGCTCAATTAACCCTTCGCACTCGAGCGGCGAATCCGAGGCGGTACTGGAAATTGTTGCACCATTTCTCGAAATAATTGCGACAGTACCAGATTCGTTATATTTAACCCTTCGCGCTCGAAGCCGTTTGAACTGTAAATCTAAAATAATTTTTCTGACTCATAATATTTCCATTTTACACGACAAAGTGCATGTTACTGTTACTTGTGACTCAAACAACAGTTACGCTTTTAAGAATTTTTTAAATCTATGCTCTGACAATATAAAAATTATCTTGGAGCGCGATGCAACAATTTTTTCCGGTGCTTCGGAGTCACCACTCGAGTGCGAAGGGTTAAAAAAAAGAAACTGTGTCGAAACTGCAAGTATTGTGCTTTCCAATAGGCTAAATTTCATAGAGTGCATTGTGAGTTATATGCACTGAATTATATGCATAGAGTGCATTGAATCAAATGGAAATACTGTAAATCAGGAAACATCTTTTGGTTTTCGAATTAGAATAGCTTCGACCGCAAAGGGTTAATCTATCGAGCGAATAATTCGTGTAAAAATCCCCAATTTAATCACAGATCACGACCGTGCCAGAAATACTCTTACGTTCGCTATCGGAGCAGATAATACTGTAAATTATGGTTGCCGCCTGCTTAACCCATTGGCTGTGAAGGACGCGCGCGCGCGCGCACGTCGCAAGGAAATAGCAATTTTACATCGTGCAACGATAATGCTTCTCCCGCGACTTAGTTTCGCAACGCTTGCGAAACATGTTCGCAAATTTCGCGCGTTTTAGAATGATGGCGGCGAAAGAAACTGCACCCAGTGTTCGATCGATGCAAAAAAAAGAACAAAGAAAAAGAAGAAGACGCGTACGTAATCGATCGTTAAAAACAGATCGACGCAGCCAAGCGGATTAAGCAACGGCCGCTTCACCCACGAATCTTTCGCAAACCGGACGTGTTTCGCCGGATAATGCTAATAATGCTAGAAAATGCCGCGCAACAATGTTCTTCGACAATAACGCAAAAATCACTGAAAAAGGCGACGCGCGAGAAACATGTGTGTGTGTGTACGAAGTATAAAAAAATATAAATACGCCGGCGGAAGAAGCGCGTTGCGCCGTGTCTCCGCGGAAAAAGGAAACAGGTGGTCGTCCGTTGATTAAAGACTAACGCTTGGAAAAAGTTATATGCCACGAACGAAATCGGCCGTGTTCTCCGCGGGAACAAGGATAGAATCACGGCGACCTTGATTACCCCGTTATCGCGTCCATGATCCTAGCGCGGTGTACAGTAATGTCTCTCTGATTGACGCTCAGATTGTCCAGAGAAATGGACAATATGGGAAGCGGAGATACGATTAATTTGAGTCTTGCGGTTTATTTTTATAGTTATAAATTGTCCATGATTATAAAAATCGTATCTCCTCTTCCCAAATTGCCCAATTTAGTGGATAATTTGAGCGTCAGTAAGGGAGACATTACTGTACAGAAATGTCTCCCCAATTGACGCCCAGATTGCGCACAAAAATGGACAATATGCGAAGGGGAGATACGATTAATTTGAGTCTTGCGGTTTATTTTTATAGTTATAAATTGTCCACAATTATAAAAATCGTATCTCCTCTTCCCAAATTGCCCAATTTAGTGGATAATTTGAGCGTCAGTAAGGGAGACATTACTGTACAGGAATGTCTCCCTAACTGACGCCCAGATTGCGCACAAAAATGGTCAATATGCGAAGAGAAGATATGATTATTTGAGCCTCGCGGTTTATTTTTATAGTTACAAATTGTCCTTATAAAAATCGTATCTCCTCTTCCCAAATTGCCCAATTTAGTGGACAATATGCGAAGGGGAGATACAATTATCCGAGCCTCGCGGTTTATTTTTGTAGTTATAAATTGTCCATAATTGTAAAAATCGTATCTCCTCTTCCCAAAATGCCCGATTCAGTGGACAATCTGTGCGTCAGTAAGGGAGACATTACTGTATAGCAATGTCTCCCCAATTGACGCCCAGATTGCGCACAAAAATGGACAATATGCGAAGGAAAAATACGATTATCCGAGCCTCGCGGTTTATTTTTATAGTTATAAATTGTCCACAATTGTAAGAACGAGCCGCAAGGCTCGAATAATCGTGTCTCCTCCTCTTAAATTATCCAATTTAGTGGACAATCTGAGCGTCAGTAAGGGAGACATTACTGTATTCCTTTTTCATTCCCTATCCTACGTCACGAAAATTCACACGCATACACACAGAGGCACGCAGCCCCACCAATATTCTCACAGATGCACCAGCCATGCAGGCACACACACGCGCATCACGTTTCCCATGAAAAAGTATCCTATCTAAAGCCTCGTTTATGGTAGCGGACTTCGAGCACTGGTCTCCGCGGGTTTCCTCGGCTCCGTGGTCTCGTGGTTCTCGGTCTCCTTCTCCTCCTCCCTGTTCTCCATTTCCGTTTTGTGCGCTATCGCGTAATTGCACAGGTATTCCACCACCTGCATGTGCCCGAACGTTTCTGCCTCGTCCACCGGCCGCTTTCCCCACCTGAAACGTGACTCACGATCAGCTCGGTGATCCGGTTCGATCGGGAAAATCCCGCGGGTCTGACGCACGATCCCGATCGAGGAATTTTGCGATATTTTTGGCGGGATGCCATATTTCTTTGCGTCGATGTTGAACGATTGCGATTTCGTTGGTCGCTCGAAAGCGAGGACAGCGTTGAGTGTCGAGCAGATTAAATTAATGGTTTTCTCAGAAGAGGATTGCTTCGTAGCAAAGATTTCTGCTTAGTCGATACGTTTATCGATAGCTTAGAAACGAGTGACAATTTGAAAATTGGGTATTTTGAAAGTAATTTTGAAATTAATTGTTTTCAATTTGGAAATTAAATGTTGGCGTATTTGGTCGATTCAAAGGTATAAATCAATTATGTCGAGTCTGTTAATGTTTCTATTTAATTTTTGTCGATGTGTAATTTGATTGTATACATTTCTTTCAGACGAATTTTGATGAGATAATGCAGATTTATGGGTTAATATTTACTTTTGCAATTTTAAATTGAAACATTGGCATTTTTTAAGATATTAAATATTAACTAGTCATAAATAGTTCCACCAAATTGATTAATTTAGAGATATTAAAGATATTAAATATTAACTAGTTATAAATAAAGAGACTAAAACTAAATTGATTAATTTAGTGGAACCTTTAGTTAATAGTATTATTATAATAGCATATTATTATTATAATATTATATTAATATACTATATAATAGTATATTATTATTATAATAGTATATTATTTTAAGTTAATAATACTAGTTAATATTTAATATCTTAAAAAATACCATTGTTTCGTTCAATTTAAAATTGGAAATATATATACGAATTTTTTTTTGAAAAGTGGATTTACATCACTTTCGAAGTAAACGGTCCAATTATCGGTGTTGCAGAGATAAGAGAAAATTGACGACGTAAAAAAATAATTGAAAGAGCTTGTCTGACAAAAATTTGTACTCTTGCTTTAACCTAATTTCCAAATAATACTCTCTGAACACTTTCCAAATACGCCCTCAAATTATTTAAAAGAACTTCGTAGTATCACCAAGTATTACCAATCATCTGTTTTAATTATTTCAAAACTCCAATATTAAAGTATGTAACCACTCCAATATTTACACGGTTTATTTTCCGCCAAGATGTCATTAAATTCATCGATCGAGATTATAACGAGCCGTAAAAGAAAGCGTGTCTCGACAAGAGCACCAGTATCGATCGTGACAGACGATAACTTTTTGAGAATTGCACAATTTTGAGAGTGTACAATTTGGCTTACCTGTCCTTGGGATCGTGCGGCACCGCGCACTGCTCGATCAGAAACTCGACGCAGTCGATGTGGCCTTCGCTGGCTGCCAAATGCAGGGCTGTTCTGCCATCATAATCCGAAAGCGTCATGTCCATGCCGCTCAAACGATGCCTGAAATCGAAGTCAGAAACGCTCTACAATTCTTTCCCGGTCTCGTTGCTAAGACAGAACACGATCCATCTTCAAAGGGGCTTGAAAACGACCGACATTTTGCAACCGAACTGTAACATCATGTTGCAAAACCAAGTTGCAAAATCGAGATGCGAAGCTAAGTTGCAAAACCGAGCATGCATGGACCATAATCTTCCGCGGCGTTGGCTTCACAGAGCGCAAACGTTCATTCGATTTGTTCGACGATGGAATTTGGCAACGTGGAAAACTGTTTCAAGTTGAGATACAATAATTTTTATAGGCACGCTACGGGTCAACGTTCGATTATCAGGTCGATATACAGGTCGATGTATCAAGAGCAATGAACGTACAGTAATGTCTCTCTAATTGACGCCCAGATTGACCACGCGAATGGACAATTTGGGAAGAGGAGATACGATTATTCGAGTCTTGCGGTTTATTTTTATAGTTATAAATTGTCCACGATTATAAAAATATAATCGTATCTCCTCTTCTCAAATTATCCAATTTAGTGGACGATTTGAGCGTCAGTAAGGGAGACATTATAGTACAGTAATGTCCCTCTAATTGACGCCCAGATGGACCACACAAATGGACATTATTTTTATAGTTATAAATTGTCAACAATTATAAAAATATAATCGTATCTCCTCTTTCCAAATTATCTAACTTAGTGGACGATCTGAGCGTCAGTAAGGGAGACATTACTGTATAGTAATGTCCCTCTAATTGACGCCCAGATTGACCACACAAATGGACATTATTTTTATAGTTATAAATTGTCAACAATTATAAAAATATAATCGTATCTCCTCTTCCCAAATTATCCAATTCAGTGAACGATCTGAGCGTCAGTAAGGGAGACATTACTGTACAGTAATGTCTCTCTAATTGACCTCCAGATTGACCACACAAATGGACATTATTTTTATAGTTATAAATTGTCAACAATTATAAAAATATAATCGTATCTCCTCTTCCCAAATTATCCAATTCAGTGGACGATATGAGCGTCAGTAAGGGAGACATTATAGTACAGTAATGTCTCTCTAATTGACGCCCAGATTGACCACACAAATGGACATTATTTTTATAGTTATAAATTGTCAACAATTATAAAAATATAATCGTATCTCCTCTTCCCAAATTATCCAATTCAGTGGACGATCTGAGCGTCAGTAAGGGAGACATTACTGTGCTAAGATTGCGAGTGTAAAAAATGCCATCGACCCGAATGAAATAATTCTTTTCAATGACATTTTATCGCGGAGAGACGCGTCGTATTTTTGAACCGCTTCTTCTCTTCGATAAACTTTTCAAGAGAAATTCTTCAAACAATAATACTATTTTCTCGGCGATCACGGGGTGGGGGGTGTTGGGACAACGACAGAAGTTTAACGAGTTGCGAACCTCCTCAAAGCGGTGACGTCGCCGCTAGCCGCGCTGAACAGCAGATTCACGATGCACAGTCCCTTGGTTTCGTACTTGTGCCTCCTCGGATCCTTCTTGTTCGTCGCGTGTTTCAGATTGTCGTACCTGTGATCATAGTAGGTGCTACACTAATCGGGACGGGATGGAGAGACGACGGGAGACAATGAATATAGCCCAAGAAGTTACGTCGGCCGTTGGATGGTCGGTCCGTGTTCCGATTTTCGAAGGCGCAGACAGAGAGTTTTGACGGGCAGGTGGTTGTGGGTGGTGTTCGTGCGGGTTAACGTGTAGAGCGGGTCGTGAGAGAAGAGCAAAGGAAGGGAAATAAACAATTGATTAATGTGTTGTCACTCTCGGTCGTGGATCGCATTAAGCTTTTACAGATTAAAGACTGACAAGCGCGAATAACGGAATGCCGGATCGCGAGCGATTCCCGGAATCGCGCGTATTCGATCGGTTTTCGCTGCGCTCGCGATCCTATGATTCGAGTATTTCGCAATCGGTCGTGCACGCGCCCGTCTAAGTTTCGATATAACTGCGACCACTAAGAAGCTTTCTAATGAAATCGATCGTCCGTTTTAGCAACATCGAGCCGCGTACCTGTGAAAATTGAACTCGGTCACGAGCTCCTCGCAGAACTGCACGCCTCGGCACGAGTTGCCGAGGGGGTCCAGGGGTGGCGACCACGTGCAGATCCCCATCACGTTCGGGATCACCACCAGAAGGCTTCCCGACACTCCGGATTTAGCTGGTATTCCGACCTGCAATTTAATCGACGCGTTCGGCCGTGATTAGAAGATCGCATTGCTTGTCGTACAATCTTCTTACGTGATTTCCAATTTATTCGAACTATTAACCCTTTGCGCTCGAGAGTGGCGACTCCGGGGCTATAATAATGTAACCACTGAAATTCGTTACACCACGTTCCAAGGTAGTTTTTACATTATTTTGACAATGTAAATCAAGGCTCAATTTCATATGCGTGAAATGGACTCCGTCATATAAAATGGAGATGCTATAAGTGAGAAAAGTTGATTCAGGTTTACAATTAAAACGGCTTCGAGTGCGAAGGGTTAAAAGAGCGAGTACGTTTTCATTCGACTACTATTCTGCGCGATTGAACAGTTTTTATTTATTGCAATAAAAATTCGTTGGAACAACTGTGTCTCGCGTGGAAGCGGAAATTCTGTGAAGAGATTTATTGGCGAGATTATATGGCGAAGAGATTTATTTCTTTCCCCCTCTCCTTTCGCTTATAAATCTCGAAGAAATGTCGAATCTTCGATGTTAATAATATCATTAATAATATTATAATGTATTATATATAATACATTATTATATTTATATTTATGTAATATTATATAAATATAATATAAATAATATCATTAATAATAATAATATTAATAATATGTATTATATTATATATTATATTATATTATGTTATATTATATTATATTATATTATATTATATTATATTATATTATATTATATTATATTATATTATATTATATATTATATATATATTATTATATATATATATTAATAATATTAATAATATCATAATATCATTAATAATATTATCTCCTTTGATGAGCGAAAGGAGGGGGAACAAATAAAAGGAGATAATATCAAAATGGCGACGGTGGTTAACATCGAAGATTCGACATTTCTTCGAGATTTCCGAGAGTAACAGAGAAAAATGGCTCGATCCTCGTCGCATTGAAATCTACGAAAGCCATAAATGTTAAAAACGATACAAGCTACAAAATCTACAGAATCACGACGCGCGGTAACGATGATCGAAACGCATGACCGTCGGCTGCACAGCGAGAGATTAGACACCTCCAGGTGTTTTCACTTTCGATTTACCTTGAACGCGAACTGTCCGCTGTAATCGTACATGCCGCAGCTGTGCATCAGACTGAGGACGTCTCGAACGCTGTCGGGCTTCAGGACCTTCTCCTCGGTAATAGGACATATGCCGCCGTTGGCGAGGGTGGCACCCATGACCGCCATCGTGTCGCAATTAGCTTCCATCGAGCAACACTAACGTCGAAATGTCATCGTTGCGAATAATGCGGACAGGACTTTCGGAAGCAACCGGAAACGAAAAGCGACTTACTTGGAAATAAAAGTCCATTATATCACGTAAATTCGACTTGTCCGGATAACAATCGTGCTCCTTCATGTAAAAGCCGAGCGCGTAGTTTCTGTTGGCGACCTCTCGCTCCGATAAAAACACGGCGTTGTTGAAGCCGAGATTCTCGCCGCCCGCCAGCCTCTTGAAATAATTCATCGTGAAGTCGAACTTCTCCGCGAGCGTCATCTCGGGCTTGATCAACGCCTTCAGCAGGGAACAGACCAATATGGCGCCAGCGTTGATCATAGGATTATGGGGTTTCTCTGGAAACATGCGTACAGATTGCTGTGACACGTTCGCAGACTGATTATTAGTCGTTAATATTATTTTTATATTATTATTATATTATATTATTATATTATTATATTATATTATTATATTATATATATTATATTATTATATTATATTATATTATATTAT